CGGCATCCCCTCTGCGCTGCAGTACTTTCTCCTGTTTTCCAGATCCTTGGTTGATGTCACAATGCGGATCAGCTGGCGGTACCCCGTAGAGACAGTGTACGCCTGCACACCACTCTGTCCCTTGCGGGGCACCTCCCGCACAACTCCTGCAGGCTGTGCAGCGAGGATTCTAGTCGTGCTGTACAGCTGTACGAACAGAAGCAGCCACAGCAGGAAAAACAGCGAGACGTGCATATGGCGGAACATTGTCTCACAGTAGTGTATAATGGATATATAGGTTTGCTTGCTTTGCAGCTCTTAAACAGCAGATCTACAAAAAACAAAGAAAAGCACAGAGATGGAGAGAGGAACAGAAAAGAGAAAGAATATCAGTGTATGGTATATACAGTGGTACCACAGATGGATGAACACTCAGGTACGCAGCCACTGCGTCCCCCACCCCACAGTCCCAAAACAGGCGCGAGAGCCAATCCTGTGCAGCGCACACCCTTCCGCAATTCCAACCGCATCCCCCTCAGCAGCAGTTAGCCGAGAGAGGCTGCAGCACACCGCACCAACCGCACGGTTACACACACACACACACNACACAGATCACACGGTTCATCTTCATCATCGTGAGAGAAAAAATAGTTTGGTTTGCGTAAAAACACTGATCTAGAAAAACAAAACAATAAAAAGGAGAGAGTGGGAGAATACACATCACAACAGCAATCAAACACAACCCAATGAGGGAAAAACAACAAACCACTAACACAATAAAACACACCCAGAGTTACACAGATATTGAAACAACACCTTGAATTTAGAAGAAGTGGGAAACAAATGGTATCAAAACAATATTGAACAAACGTCTCTGTTCACACACTCCAATATCTTACTCGGTATTCATACACACAAACAAAGTGTGTCTGTATTCTCATTATAATAAAATCATTACCAGGCAGTTTGAACACCAAAATACACCAAAAACACAGTGCACGCCCGGCAACAAACAAAAACAATACCACAAATCATCAGCAAAACAAAGAGACTGTACAATAATCAACACACTTGCAAACAAAAGAAAAGAAACCAATGCATCACCGTAATATTTATACCAACACCACAATTGGAATCCAAAACACACTCACCCACAACCATAACAAAAATGACTGCATACATCACTGTAATACCATGCCACTCTTTACAAACAGAGGCAACACACACAATCACTCACTCCCACACACACATATCACCTCTTTATTTTTCTCTCAGAATGCCGCTTCCCTTCTTCTCCCACAACATTATCATCAACAAAAAAAAAAAATCACACCACCAAACCCATCCTTGATGTATATTGGGAGGGTACGATCAAACATATCCCCTTCCACCCCCCACCATACCCCCCACCCCACAGTCCCAAAACAGGCGCGAGAGCCAATCCTGTGCAGCGCACACCCTTCCGCAATTCCAACCGCATCCCCCTCAGCAGCAGTTAGCCGAGAGAGGCTGCAGCACACCGCACCAACCGCACGGTTACACACACACACACACACCGCTTCTGCGCATACACCACACCACGCACAGCCTCAAGTGTGGAAACCATC